ATTATATCAGTTTACTGGATATCATGTGATTGAAATATTCTCGTTGGTATTCTTTTCGTTTAGTACCTACTTACGCCAGTGCGTATGTTGTTATAAATATACATTTTGAATATTGTTAAAAAATATTTTTGATTTTGATATTATTTTCGACTTTTGTTGATTTTATCGATGCTTAAAGTCGAATTTGGTTTCTATTTCAAACCCTGCTTTTAACTACCTATTCTATAACACGTGGATTATAGTGTTATACTAAAAAAAAAAAAATAAGTAAATAGGTAATCGTGTTGTGTTAGTGGCCCAAAATCAAACCCTAGAGCCTCCACTGAGAAAACATTTAGCAAATTAGAAAAAAAAAACCTAATAAAACTTTGAGGACAGTTTATTTTTCTCTTTTAGAATTTCCTATAAAACCCGGCGGAGTTTTGTTTTGATTTTTTTTTTTTTTTCGTTAAAAATCTATAAACCCTACCGGAGTTAGTTTTTCAATAAATCCCGTACTTGAACGAACCCTATATAACAGCGCGCCGGCCTGTCCCGCTTTCCACGAGCAATATCAATATTTATATTTTTTCAAAACATAATATATGTATAGGTCTGCCTAAACCTGTTTAATTTACGATATTACCGTTACAAGATATAACGTTGCGACAATCGCCGCGAAAATAGAATCGATCGATAACCCGTAGGCATACGATGCGTATGACGTGGTGTGTTTTTGTAATAGATGGCCAGAACGGTCGACGTGTTGGTCGTGATACGCGCAGTCAATTACGGAGACAAACACGGGGATTATGCGTACGCCTACATAAATAATAATAATATTATTATTATATATATAGGTAATATAATCGCGGTGATTTCGAACGGCCGATCGGCATATTATTATTATTATTATTATTATTATTAATAATAATATTTACACGAGCCGTGGATAATCGTAGGTACCAATCGTAGGTGGATTCGGACAGGAAATCTATGCGCCGCTGCGGTGATAGATTAATAATCGTACGTACCTACATAGCTATCGCTAACCATATTATTTATCATTTATTATTATGAAATATTATTGACAAGATATCGGAGTATAACTCTTTGTTATATGACGGAAATCTTGCGCCGATTTTAAAGTGAAGCAACTTTTCTGAATGGAAATCGGTTTGCAGTGGTACTTTGAAGAGGTCATTTTTCAATTTTCTCAAGAGTTTTCCCAGCAATTGTGAAAACCTAGGGAAAACATGGGAAATCCGGGAAAGCACCCTCGGTGATTTTTTAGTTGTTCAATTTAATTGTAATTATTTAAAGAATACGATCCCCCTGTCTACACATTACGCGTGAATTATAATCTGTGTAGTGTTTTAATTTGAATAATCATTTAGACAATGGTTTATTTTTATCTTGTTTAGATAATTAAGAAATAAATTATGAGCAATTACGTCAGTTTTTTCGATATTTTAATTTTTAAGCAATTGTAAACTCTGATCTTAGACACATATGATTTAAAGGCGTTATAATTTTAAATTTGGAGCATAACGAGAGACCTATCAATTTCATGATTATGTATGTTTTAGATCCGGAGTGAACTCAGCAGATAAAAAAGTTTGACTAAACCAAAATTCACAAAAATTGAACAGGATGTTAATTGTTCATTATTAGTCACACTTTGTAACAAAAAAAAAAAAAATTGAATTTAAAATAGATTTTTTTTTATTTTTATGAGAATTTTAATATCAAATTTTGACGAAAATCGTAAATATTACAGCTTTTTAAAACATCTACAACTGAACTTTGCTCAGAATAATTTTTCATTAACAATGGTTTGTTGTTGTGTACAGATAGAAACATTAAATTCGCCTTTACATTCTATACATTCCTGGATTCTCACCTACAACAGTGGCCTACCCGCAGTGCGAATCATAACCGTCTATTATTTTTTCGTTTCGATGACTATTTTTTCCATCAGAAAACTTACTCCGATCAAAAAATAACACGAGATCGTTTTGCACCATTTTGAATTTAATTTGTGCATTGAGAAGGTCTTTTTTGATTTTGAAAGTAGTTTTAAAAATAATTTGGAAAAACTGCGATAATACGTTTAGGATAAAACTGACAAATATTTACATGCACTGTGACGTAATCGATTTCATTATTTCAAACATGCACGCTTAATATTTACTACAAGAAATCTTACTTTAATTAAAAAATGTCAAAAGAACTTTTTTATAGGTGATAAAGTAAAGTAAGACGTTTTTACCTTGTAGGGTTGGTTTTCTGTTCTAATTATGTTAAAAATATTGTTAAAGATTTAAAATTTGACATAAAATTTATGTTTGCATTCTCTAGATGTGGTAAAATGTTCAAACTATAGTGATACTATTTTCGAGCTATTTATAGGCACAATACAACTAAATTTTTTAAACGATACCAATTTTTTTCTAATTACAAAATTGGCTATGTTATAGTATGTTGAACTTTAATATTTACAAATAATTTGTATTGACGAAACTATGTTCTACTACACTAGAATATTGGAATGATATCTCCAATATTATGAAATACCTGTCTTTAAACAGATAATACACAAATAAACACTTCATTTATTTCCATGGGACATTTAAAAAATATTGTATAATATGTGGATCCTCCTAATAATGTTCAAAATTTAAAAAACAAATTACTACTGCATGTAATAATTTGAGAGAATACCAAATAAACACTGCATTGTAAAGAGAATTTTAAATAATTTTGAATCATGTTTGGAACACTAATGACGGAAACTCTGAACAATTTATTCTATAAAACTATAGTTACAAATAAATAAATCTTAATTTTAAATTCATAGCGTGTACATTTTATAATCTGAGTGGAGCGAAGAAGATTATAGTTTTACAGTTATAGTTTTTTTTTTTTTTTTAATCTGTGCGGAACTTTTCTACCAGAAGACTTGCTCGGATACTTACATGTAGCACTTTTTCTGAAACAAAATCAGCGTGGGGAGATACTTTAAAGAGGTTGTTTTTCGATTTTCTCATCAAATTTGAAAAACCGAAAAAAAAAAAAGGGAAAATATAAGAAATATAGGTATTAGTTAAAATATATGCCTTCTTTTCTTCTGTGCACAACTTTTCAACCAACAATTTTGTTCAGATTTATAATGGCAGCAATGTTTCTTAAAGGAAATTTCACTGGGAATGTACTTTAGAGAGGTCATTTTTTGGATTTTCTAAGTTTTTCCTAAGAGAAGAAAATATAAAAAACCGGGATAAAAAATGGAAAAAATGGAAAAATCGTAGAAAAACTGGGAAAATTATTACAATATTAAATAAATTTATGATGAATTAATGATTTTGATGAAAATAATAAATTTTACGTGTTCTTCAAAAGACGTAAACTGAAATTCGATCAGAATCGTATCTATTTCAAAAGCAGTCAAATTTATTTGATGTGTGGCTGTATTTATAATGCAAAAATAAATTCTCGATGAAGTTTAATTTCGGGATTTAGCTACAGAAAAAAATTAATAAAATTGTTATAAATAAAAATATTGTTTTGTTTAATTCTCGTTTAGAGTGGTTTTTGTTGTTTTTAAAAACCTGCAACTCTGACTAAAATATTACGAAAAACGAATTGTGAATTTCATGTTATTATTACATTACCACGAAATACCTTTGGAAAGCAAAAACTTAAGATATAAAAATAAATAAATAATTACAATACTAGTCCTTCTACTGCGACACATATAAATTACTCACTTGTTTTTTTTTAAACATAGTATATACTAACGATATCTACATTGTTGAATACATTTACTGGAATATTACATTAAAAAATACTAATTACAATCAATAAATAAAATAAATTGTATACGTAATATTATGTGTAATGAGAAATAACTATTTTTTTTAATGGGTTTGGGTAGATTGAGTAGGTATCTGAGTTATTTTTGAAGTAACCGGAAATCTAAACGCCATAAACTGTTGAAATTTAGAGAAAACAAATGGCTTGGAAGTTGTTTTGTAGTATTTTTATTTCGAACAATTTATTACCGCGCCATTTAAAAATAAAACACCTTGATAAAAATAAAAACAAAATAATTTCATATTATAAGTATTATATTATTTCAAAGAAAATAAAGTGGCGCAGTGCACAAGTTTTCGATTATTATTTTTGTATTTCGAGGGAGATCGAGAAAACTATTACATTATAATAATTATTATTATTTTACAATGTTTGCGCATATTTTTCTTTTCCGGTAAACATCTTTTGTTATAGAAACCAAATTCTACAATATATAATTGATTACTTGTGGCGCCATTGTAGTATAATATGTGTTTTCTGTATATTTTATTTTGTTTATAATGTATAGTAGATTTTCCAAAACAATTCCGATGGCCAAAAAAATTATACACACAAAAACCAAAAACAGTACACGAGAAATGCAGTACAGTGGTCTAAAATCTAATACTAGGAGGAAAAAATTTGGGAAGATAGGATATAAACGGGAATTTGATACACATCTGTATACAACGATTATCCTAAAGACGGGTGCAGCCACTGTTATAAGAAATCGTATTATAATGTATATCTGTTAGCAGCAATTAACCGTTGCTAACGAAAAAACGATTTTGAGCGATATTCGGTTGATAGTGTTACTTTGTAACAAAATATATGTCATATTAAGGTAAAATAATATTACATATGAATTAAACATTTTCTTTAATAATATTTGTTTTATATTGTACCTATTTTCGTTTTTCCTACTTTTTCACATTTATTGAAAAAACTCCAAGAAAAATCAAAAGATGAGGGTTAGGTAGTAAAAGTACATTGCTAATCAGATTTCCTTCCAGAAAAAAGTGCTCTCACTATTAATCGGAGAAAAATTCCTGGTAGAAAAAAAATAAAATTAACATCATTGTAAAACCAATACCAATCGTAGCTATCTTAAAATAAATTAAAATCAGCCATAACTGATCTGGTAAAAAAAATTTGCAATTTTTTACAATTTCCCCACGTTTTAAATCACAGGCGTTTATCGTTCGTCTGGTATTTTCTAGAAGCTTGGAAAGCCCAGCGAGCGATAAGCGTCTATATATATATGGTGGCGATTAAATTCAACGCAGTAGTACAGCGATTCGTGTGCGTTCGGCTATTGGTACCTTAGTACCTATTTCTTTGATTAGTTTGACCGTACAGTGAACGTATTCTACGTAATGCCTAAAATAAAATCAACTTTAAATAGTAAAATTTCGAATTGAATTTTTCCTTACAATGAAAATAAGGTATTATCATCAGATGGAAACGTTATCTAGTATGTAACAAATCTGGGTCTATTGAAAAAAAAATAACTATTAGATCATCATTCCGAAACAAGTAAGTTTTGTATTTTATGCTCATACTACATGTATAACACATAAATGCATTACAAAGGAATAAAGACAAAAAAAAACAGCTTTTGATTACTTCTCAGAATATTCGAATAGTAAAAATGTTTTTTTTTTTTTTTTTGAAGATTTATGTAATGTATTTGTTGCTACAAATATTCCTTTGCATAAGCTGGGAAATCGTGTGTTAAAATCATTTTTGGAAAAACATACTGGCAAATCAATTCCGGACGAAAGCACTTTAAGAAAAAATTACATACCAAATATTTATAAATGCGTTATGGATCAAATAATTAGTGATATTGAAAATAATTACGTTTACATAATTGTTGACGAAACAACCGATCCAAGAGGTTTGTATAAATATTTTTTTTTAATTTCTCGTATAATAAAATATACTATTTTCGTTTAGGTTGGACAATTGCAAATTTATTAATTGGTAAATTAGATGGGACGCCTAGTAAATAATACAGTGCGCTATACATGTAATATTGAAAGTTTAACAGATAATGCTACAAGTGTCAAAAAAAGCTGAAACAGCTTGTACAAAATAATGCAGTCAAATGTGGTTTAACATTTATAAAATTACACTTATCCGAGTTATCCATGAATCTTAAAAATTTGGAAGAATCTAATACTACTGAAAAGCATAGATATTTTTAGAAAAATTGAAATATTTTAACAAATATTCCTGGTCCAAATGGGGGAAAAAATTAAAGAAAAATGTATGTATGTAATTGAAAAAATGAAGGGTATAACATTTTAAAGTCTTACTATGAAGTCATGTCAGGTAAAGTAAATGTTAATTTAAATATACGCCTACTTTATTAAATAGTTTTAAATTGAGCACCAAAAATATGTATGCACCAATAACTAGTGATGACGTAGAACGTAGTTTTTCTTTGTATAAACATATTTTATGAATACTTAATTTTAAAGGAAATCATTTAGAAATGTATCTAATTATCAATTTTATGATAAAAAAAGTAACATTTATCTAATTTGTTTTATATAAATTTTGCATTTTTATAGTGAAATTTATTATGCAATTTTTACGTAATTTTTATTTTAAATAATTTTAATATGCAATTTTTGTGTGTTTTAATTGCAATTAAATCCGGTCTTTATTAATAAAAAATTACAAAGTAATATAATGCACACCATTCCAACAGCAGAAAAACCTCATACGATTCACTTTATTTTAGATGAGAGATTGAACTGCATTAACATAATTACAAATTGAAAATAGATTATTAAACACCGTTGATTTAGATGTTTTAAAATTTGAAGACCTAAGTTGCAAATTTTATTTGAATTAAATAGGTACAATATAACTTATCCATAGCAGCTATGGATGCAACATACCTAAACACCAACAGTCTATCATCACCCATATTGTTATTGTTTTAAATATAATCGCGTTACTATCATCTAAACGAGTGTCAAAAAATGTTTCAATGGTCTTTTACATCAGGTGGAAATCTCGCTTATTTTTAAATACCACTTGAAAATACCTAAGTATTTTTACAAAACAAAAAATTGTAAATAAATATATGTAAAAAATTACATACAGCTATACTTTTAAGAAATATGTAATATATAATTATCACGTACAATAACTGTGTCATCTACAGTCACACAATATGATATGATGATAGTAGTAACGACAGCTAAGAAGCATTGGAAGTTTCTTATCAGTTATATCGAATTTTTTCAAATATTTAAAAATTAAATTTTTAGTTACGTCATTCATATTTGATCGAATCTATCCATATTCTAAAACACTAGATTTAATTTTTAACGTATTCCGACTAGTGTTTAAGCCCTCGGGCATCCGAGTGCATGCCTACGAAGATGTAACTTCAGTTCCAAAAGCTTAAAAAATGAAAAATTCCAAAAATGTATATTATTGATTATTGGTTAGACTATACAATTTTACATACTACTGCATTTTTCTCGATTTACAATTTCGTTTTTGTATTATTATTTATTATTATCACAGATCGGTACGGGGAAATCGTTAACATGTTGACTATTTTTCAACAAAATGAAGCGTACTAATATATTGAATTCTATCTAGCAATATTTCTTGTAACTTTAACAACATTATTATTTGTATATATGTGTGAAAGGGTCGTTCTTCTGGTATAGCCTACTAAATCTGCGATACTATTTTTACCCTATCGTCCCGGAACCCATTCGAATGAATTATTTAACTCACGAACGCAGGTTTTTTTTTTTTAGTCCTTTAAACTGAAAAACAGGCTACTCGTCGTCGTCTCATCGTATATATTATATACAGTCCTTTGGGCGTGTTTGAAATTTATTTGTTTAAATATAATACGAACCGGAAAATCACAAACATATTATAAACATTTTACCGTATGCGCGAAAAAAATATAATTATTAATCAAATTCAGTCAGTGTTACAATAACATTGAAAATAACACCATAATAATTTATTAAACACATGTGATTGACCTGTTAAGTTTCTCGAAAGAAAAAAAAATTATCAGAATATTATATATGATGTCGCTGGGACGGTCATAAAATTCAATAATATATTTTTTAAACCGTAAACCATGCTTGGTTGTAAGAACGATTCATGTTCGGTAATGTGAATTTAATTATAACAATATTGCATGTGTATAACAATGTTTTTAGTTGAACGCAATATTTTCAATATTCAGGAAGAATTTGAACGTTCTCTTTCTATGAAGTAGGTAATTATAACTACGGTAATTAAATAGGCACCTATAATTTGATTATGGTTTCAAAAAGCTATGAAATTGACGAGCAAACATTTTCTACAAGGCTGCAAGTAAGTTAATTAATGTTATATATATATATTAACTCAGTCAAATTAATTGAAACCTATATTTAATGAGTTAACGCATTAGAAGTTAATTTGCAAATGTACCTAATTTATTTATTTACTTAAGTTCATTATTCCCCCCGTAAAATTGTTATTATTAGAATGATAGAATGTCAAGTTTGTCAAGTTAGCAAAGGTACCAATTAGGGATTTTATGTCAATAAAGTATCTGTAGAATCTAGACAAATGTTTAAAGTACCTGCACTGGTTATTTAATACACAAAATTAAAATAAAATATTCACAGTTATTATTGAATACATATTTCTTTATGGATTAATGAACTACATTATAACTAGGTAATAAAATTTAAAAAAAAAGTATCTTTAACATTCAAGTAACATTATTTATTGAAGAAAAACATAGATATGTTATTTAAAATATTCAGTATGTACTAATTACACTACAATTTTTAGTAGGTACCTACCAAATAATATAATAAATTATTAATCGGTCAAAATTAATTTTGCATAAAAATATTACAAATATTCCTGAAATATCATTTATTAAATAATAAAAATAATCAAATCGCTGGTTTATTAGTTTAACTCTAAGTAAATAAGTAGTTGTTACAACAACCTGGTATTATCTTATAATATTAAACAAGAAAATTAACCTTAAATTAGTTATTAAATAGGTATAACTGGAAATCAAGCTTGGGTTATAGTTCAAGGAACTAAATATGTATCATACATTCAGAATGCTCACAATGATAGTTTTCCTCTTTTCAATAATTTATAACTGTAAACAAGTAGATAGTCTATTTTGTGATTCTTTGCAACCATGCAATATTGTAAAATATTGCATGAAAATTAATTATTATAATTTTTAAATTATTTAACTAAAATAGTCAAACAATTAATTCAAACATTATGGAAGATATTAAATCATTTATGTTTATTATAATTATACTAAATGTTATAAATACTTTTTGGTAACTATCTGCATGACTGCCATCTACAATAGTGATTTTTTTTTTTTACAAATTTTGCATTCTAATAAAATATTCAAATTAATTATTAAATTGTATTATGAATTAAATAACATTATATACTAAATATACATACTTGGTTTATGGATTTTTATTTTTATTTATGTTGATGAACCACCACCACAACCGTTGAAGTAAAAAAATAAATTTACTTGGCATCTTTATAATATAAATCAACTTTTTGTTGTTATAAAACAAATGTAACATAGGTAATAAATATATAAGTTTGTGTTATTAAATTTTCAAGAATTTCTGTTTGGTTTTGACATATTTATCCACAAAGTACTTATAAAGGCCGTTTCGGGGACGGAATTAAAAAAAAACTTGAATCGGCTACGAAACCGTGTCGATTGCAGCGGTACCAGAAACGTTTCACTCGGTCTGAAGAGGATTCAGACTTACACAGCTCGTGCAGCGAATATTTTAGCGAAACACATTTGACGAACAATTTCCGTGCGAACGGCAACTGGTACAAACACTTCGTCGTCGCTCGGAACAGAGCGGTCGGGCGTGACGGTCGGATCATGGAAGAATAAAATAATACACGATCGGCATATTATGTAACGATAAACGCGTTCCACGAAGAGTCCAAACAGCGATGCGAACCGGTCAGGCGAATAATCATATCGTAATATAATTCTGCACTAGTTCATTATACCGGGAATGCCCAATAGTTATTATTGTATTTATCGTTTTGCGAAATCGTACACCGGAATTCACGATGACGTAATCGTCATATACGCGGCAGTGCTGTTACAACGATGAAACTTCGCGGAAATCCGTAAGTGACAAAAGTGCCCTGAAATCGTACGACTGGTGGCGCACTAACGATTACACAATGCGCTTACGCTGCCGGCGATTTTATAGAGTTTCGAATATCCATAATGTTTACGTGTGAAATCCGTACGGATGAACGCGACGCCGGTGCACAAATGCCGCCTCGAAATTCTATCCTCACCCTAACTGAAAAGTATAATGGAGTTGCCTGTCTCGTGTCAACGGACTGATGGGAATTGAAAATTTCGATATCTGAGTTTATTTTGACATAATTTATTTATAGGATATTTTTTTCATATAGGCCGCTATTTGAAAATCAAAAGTAGGCAATGGTTTCACTCCCAAAAAGTAAGAGACACGAAAAATGACGGCAATGTAAAACATTTGAGAACTACTTATTGCATACAAGTTGTCACGAAAAAAAAAAAACAAAACAAAAATGCCGAATTAAAAGTACGACAGTTCGGACACTAATTTAATGGGTCTCTTGGTAGGCACATCTTATGTTTAAACGTTTTTTGAAATAAGATGTTAAAATAATGATTAATTACATACTGAATATAAATCGAAAATCAGTAATGTATAAATAATATTCGCAGTTCATGTAAGAAAATTATAAAAGCTAAATCTAAATTTCAAAACGCTCGCAAATTATCAAAAACCTAGAAGCACTTATATTTTTTATTAAATAATACTTACCTTCCTTATAACGCCCATTAAAAATGGTTTTAAGTTTTGTCGTTGCGGGTCGTATTGCAGGTATTACACTATTTACTAATTCACAACACAAGAGTGGATGTTATAAAAACACCCGACAAAAATCACAAAAATAAAAACAACTGTGTAGCGCGCAAGTACGTAATCAACTGCCTACCTACCTATATTAACTATCTTAATCTATGAACACAGAAATAATTATGGAGTAGTATCCATCATAAAAACAGTGTTAAATATGTGTAACTCTTACCTACCCACTCGAATATAAAGAGAACTTATTATTATATTACAGTCGTTAATAAAGAATAATATTATATTATTATCTGAATAATAAGAACAGCAGTGTAGGTATAGTGCTTGGAACGTTGCAACGGTAAACCTTTGACGGAAATTTATTACAAAACCGTGACAATTTCATTAGTTATTCATAACATGTAACTAAGTAATTAGCTAGTTACATTAATTAAACGCTATTAGAAAAAAAAAAAAAAAAAAAAAATTTAGTTGCACATTTCCCACAGTTTGTGTGCGACAAGTCCCGAGCCCCGCTTAATACCAAACTTGTCCGGGGTGATTCGTAAGTAATACAGATAAGTTATCTGTTAAAAATTATCAACGACAGTCTCCGGCTATTCGGGTTTCAATAACTATGTTATGATTTACTCACCGACGACACCGCGAAGTCGCGTTTACCACCGCCGTTCAGCTCTCGGCCTTTCGAAAATCGAGAGGGCGCGAATACGCAACGGACGGTTTTACCACGGAGAACCCGAAAGCGAACACCGGACTTTGAATTAAATGCGGAAAAAAAAATGTACGGAGTACTTGCAGTAGATAAAAAAAAAAAAAAAAAACATCACGCGCACACGCGAAAACGCGATACCGGACATGGTTGTTATGCGACGTCTGGCGAAAACATGGTGGCGACGACATCAGCAACCGCGGTCCGTCATTACGAAACGGAGGCGTTATACCGATTCGGAAACGTCCATTGTCGGTACAGTATAGAAAACGGCATCGTTATTGTACCGCGGCCGTGGTCGCCGATTGGCCCGCGACCAGTGTGGCCGATCACGGGTCGCGATGGGGGTGTTCTCTCCGGCGCGCCGGTACGGTACGGCGAATCCGAGGGTCCGCGCGGACGGGGCCCACGGCTGGTCCACCGGCACAGTACGCTCGCGCACCATTCGGCCCGCGGCCCACGTTCGACGCGTCGTTTCGTTTCTTCTGCCAGGAGCCCATCGATGGATCTCGTCACGAAACATCGATGGAAGCTCCCTTCACCCCACCCGCTCTCGCTGTCGCGTCGCTCGCTCGCGACAGTAAGGTTTGGACGGGACGCAGTAGCCCTCGCAAATTCGCCGTTGCGTTTCGTCCGTGTGCGCGTTACAGAGTAATATTATTATCTCGCGGTTTCGCGTTTCGTTGCGTTCGATATTCTTGCAATTGGTTCGTTTTATCATTTCAATAATAATTACCGTAAACGCGTCGACCGCGCCTTATCGTTTAAATTCCGCGGACCGTGGCGTGTACCGTTCGTCAAGACTCGTCGGCGGCGGCGGCGGCGGCGGCGATGGTGACGGCGGCGGCGATTCGGTGAGTACCCAACAGCGGCTTAATATTAACTCGACGTATTATTTATTTATTATAAACTCAACGGACAAAACTTATGGAATAAGTAACAATAAGTATGAAAAACGGAAAATATATAAAATACTATTGAAAAATTACGAGGTTACTTTCAACAAAATAACAATAATTAAAACATATTATAATTAATTAATAACGTAATTATTATCCTATATTAAAAAGCCCATAAATAGATGGACTGTTAGTTAAAATACATTTGAGTGTTGAAATTTTTGATTTCCGTCGATCCGTTGACGCGATATTCCTCTTTTAAGTTTGGGTTAAACGAGAGTTAGTCAAGTATCATTTTTATGGCACTACGGCGCGCAGCGTGTTAATAATGTAATACGCTACTCTCCTCCGCCCCGTACTTAAAAGTGGAATAACTCGTCAACGGATCGACGGAAATCCAACATTCCATTTAGGGACTTTTCAATATAGGTTGCCGTTTGAAAATCAAAAGTAGGTAGTGTTTTTAGCTCAGAAAATAAGGGCGGCAAAAAATAACGTAAACACAAAATTGTGGAGCAGCTCGTTTCTTAAATGTTCTAGAAAAAAAAATGCAATACTTTCCGGTACAACGTGTGTACCCACTTAAATGGATCACCTGGTGTACTCGCGTTGAATCACGCACAATAATATGTTCGTATTGTTATTGTTTACGAATTACGGATGTCGCGGTACCTACACCCGTACGGTAAATATTTCGTACCGCTGTAGTCTCGCCACTCGCCCGCGGATAGGTTTTTTTTTATTTTCCCGACGGCGGCGGCTGTTCTGCAGACG